CCCGGCTGGCGCGGCAGACTACGAGGAAATGGAACTCCTTCGTAAGAAGCGCCGCGAGGAAGAGTACGAGCGCAAGGCCGGGCAAAAGTACGTGACAATTAACCGGTGAACGGGGCACGCTTCCCCGCGCCGCGGGGCGGCCGCCCCATGGGAATCGACGGATGGGGCGGGAGGAAGGCCACAAACTAACCCAATTGGTCGTCCCCCATCTCAGTGCCGATTCGGACAGCGACTCGGATGACGACTTCAAGTATGCTGACACGGCGGACATGGCCGGGCAGAAGCTTGATGACACGAAGGGTCGTATGACCGTCCGAAACTTGCGAATCCGTGAAGACACGGCCAAGTACCTCCTGAACTTGGATGTCAACTCGGCGTACTACGACCCGAAGACGCGGTCGATGCGTGCCGACCCGACACCGCACAATCCGGATGTGCGCTTTGCTGGGCTCCTTTTGCCTCTTCCCTTTTCCTTCTCCGCCCATTGCGGCCCAATGCTAATCCGTCTCCACCGCCGAAGGCCGCGTACAAGGGTGACAATTTTGTCCGGCACTCAGGCGATGCCAAGGCCTTCACCGACATGCAGATGTTCGCATGGGAGGCCGCCCAGCGCGGTGCGGCGAATATCATTCCGCAGGCCGATCCCACGGCCGCGGAGATGATGCGTCGCGAGTTCATGCAACGTGAGAAGCAGGTCAAGGACGACTACCAGAAGAGTGCGTACTGCCGCCCTTTCTCCCTCTTTCTCGATCTCCCGTCCCGCTTTTTGCACCTCCTGGTCGCGGGGGCAGCGGCGAGGAGGGCCTCCTCTTTCTCCGCCTCCCCCTCCCCCCGCTGGCAGGTCTGCCTCCCGCTGTATTGGTTCTTCCCCGCCAACCGCTGACACCGTGACATGCCTTCCTTCGCCTCTACACACAAAGACATTCTCGACACGTACGGTGGTCATGAGCACCTCAAGGCTCCCCCGCGCGAGTTGCTCCTGGCTCAGTCGGAGAACTATGCCGAGTATGATGCGTCTGGCAACGTGCTCAAGGGCGATGCGCAGGCGACATTGGAACTCTCGGCGGCGGCGCGCTCCAAGTACGAGGAGGATGGTACGTAATGGCGCTGGCGCGGCACCGGCCAGGGCCCAGCCAAGTGGCTTCTTCCTGCACATGGGAGAAGGCGAGGAAGGAGGGGCATATGCATATTTTTCCCCGTGCGATCTTCCGTTCGATCACTGACATACTTGTGGGTATCTGCTGTGTACGTGTGGACGCGCATGTGTGTGTGTGTCCTTGCGCATGTAGTCTTCCCCGGGAATCACACCTCCGTCTGGGGAAGTTACTGGGTCGATGGGACGTGGGGCTTTGCTTGCTGCCATCAGACCCTGCGCCAGGCGTATTGTACTGGCGAAGCCGGGCGCAAGGCCAGCGCCGCCTCCCGCGTGGCAAAGGAGGCCTGATCGCCGGGGGAGGAGTTCTCTTTTCCTGCTCCCCCCGGCCGGGGCCATGTCAAATAAAATCAAAATCCCGTAGGACGCGCGCCGTGCGGCCCCCGAAGGAGATGAGTCTTGGCGGCCGGTGGTCCCCCGCCCCCAGTCATCATAGGACTCTGGCATTCTCCGCGGCCGCGATCGCGTTGTGCTCGGTCCGGCGAGAAGGGGGCAGCAACAACTGGAAAAGAAAGCGCAGCAGGCAGGGGAGAATCGCCCTGGATCAATAAGACCCGGGGTGAGACGGTCCAGAGTGATCACGGTATCTCTCCATTAGGGTTGCCCAGGGTACCGTGCCCCCCCCCCCCCCCCCCCCCCCCGGGGGGGGAAAAAATTTTTTTTCCCCCCCCCCCCCCCCCCCCCACAACCCCCCCGGGGCCCCCCGGGGGGGGGGGGGGGGGGGGGGGGGGGAGGGCAACCGCCACACACAAAGAACCCCCCCCGGGGGGGGGGGGTGCGCGGGGGGGCGCGGGGGGGGGGGGGGGGGGGGGGGGGGGCAGGGAGACGGGGAGAGAAGAAAGAAGGGGCAGGGAGGAAAACGCAAGGACCGGAGGGAGGAGGAGCAGTGGAAGTGCAGTCAAGGCCACACATCCCACAGCGGGGAGGGGGGGAGAAAAGGGGCGAAAGCATAGGCAGCTTAGTTGCGGCCACCGCGACCGCCGAAACCACCGCCACCGCGACCCCCGCGGAAGCCACCACGGCCACCACGGAAGCCACCACGGCCACCACGGAAGCCACCACGACCGCGGCCGCCGATCCCACCGCGCAGGGAGGTGGTCTTCTTCTTGCGCACAACCTTGGCCCGAGGGGTGTCATCGATGAGCAGGGTGTCCAGGGGCAGGGAGTCCGGCAGGATGTAGTAGCGAATGGTGCTGCCACGGACGGTCAGCTGGTCCAGGTGGCGCGGCTCCTGGTTCTTGGCCACCAGGCGCACGGACTTCAGGTAGGTGTTCATCAGGGGGTCCACACCGGAGATGGTGCCGGTCAGGGTGGTGCCGGTCTTCAGTTCCAGGGTGACAGTCTCGGAAACGAGCTTCTGGAGGAAACTGCATTCACAGGAGGCACGCGGCGGGGTTAGTGTCGCCAAGAATGGCGTCAGGGGGGAGGGAGGGGCGAAACAGATGAGGCCACAAGGGGCACATCACAGGGGGGGGGGGGATCATACCGGACGAGCTTCATGGCGTTGGGGAGGGGGAGGGGGGAGTGGTCTGTGTGTGTGTCTCCTGAGGGGAGTAGAAATGGGGCGTAGGTGTCAGTCGGCGCGGAGCACTGGGCCGGGGCGGGGAAGGGCAGAGGGACGGAGGAGGCGCAAGGAGGACAAATGCACAGCCAGGCGCAGAGGTGAAGAGGCGGCGCAGGAGTGCGGCGGTGCCAGCGCGCCGAGGTGACAAGAAGGGAGGAGAGCAAGAGCGGAGCCGGGGGGGGGGAGGGAGGGAGAGAGAGAAAGAGAACTAGACAGAGAGGTAGATGGACAAGGGCGAGAGCATACAAGCGAGGAGGGGGGGAACAGGAACCGGGATGGTGAACCGGCCGGCTGGCGCCCACAAGTTGATGGCCGAAAAGTGTAACCGGGGGAGGGGACACGGGAGGGGGGGGGGGGTGGGACCGGCGGCAAGGGGAACCGTGACCTCGGAGGGCGGACGACCAAGCATGGGGCCACCGGAGCAGCATCACCCCCCCGTGTGCGCGACCAACGGGCACCACCACCCCACGGGCAAGACCTCCGCCCTCCCGGCGCCCGGCGCCTGGGTATCGTGGTGCAGCCGCCACATCCACCGGCAACCGGCGCACATGCCGAACACGCGCGCACTCGGGTCCTGAAGCACCAATGCCAAGTAATGAGCACCCTGCCCGGAATACTTCCTCCCCGCAGCGATGCCTTTCTCTCCCGCCTCCGCCGGTGGCTGCGTCGCCTCCGCCCGCGGTCCCGCTGGAAAGTTGACCAAGAATATAACCGGCAGGGGGAGGAGGCCCTTGCGCCAGCGTCGGCCGCCCGCGCGCGCGCGCGCGCGCGCACGCTTCAACAGCCCACCCTCTGGCAAATAGACACAGGGGGTGCGCGGGGAAAGACTGTTCCGGGCGGGAACGGGCGGCAAGAAGGCGCAGGGCGTCACGTGGTATGTCCGTTGGGGCCAAACGATCTCTCGGCACCCGCCGCTTGAGGGCCTACTCTGTTTCGGCTCGCCCCTGTACCGCGGCGTTGGCCCGTGTCTGCGATCCCCCCCCCCCCCGCTGGTCTCGAAGGCCGGGGCATGGGCCGGTGGGAAAGGAGGGCATGCTGGTCGTGGGCATGGGTGTGGGTGTGCATGGATGCCTTGGCGGATTTCGGAGGTGTATTTGCCCGGGGGAGGGGGGGGGGGAGGAGAGGAGAACCGGCCAAGCGACCGATCAGAGGAAAGGCGCATGACGGTGCGTGATCCGGGGGGACAAGGACAGGGTCCCCGCGGCGGGCGGGCAAGCGGGGGAATGAAGAGGGAGGAAGCGGCAACAAGGCACCCTCGCCCATTCCCGGGAGAGGGGATATGGGAGGGAGGGCAGGTGGAAACACCGCCAATGAGGAGGAGAAAGGGAGAGAGAGAGAGAGAGAGAGCGATGCCGCAAGCTGACAAGGCAAAGTATGTGCGGGCGGGTGTGTCTGGGGGACTCTATAGGAGGGGGAAGGAAACTGAAGAAAGGAGAGCGATGGGAAAGGGGCACGCGAGTCGGGGCCAACTTGCGGGGTGGGGGGGGGGGGAGGAAGGCAGGTCGCGACAACATGCTGGAAAAGGGGGACACAGAGAGATGCTCTCCAGGAACCCGAAGGAACACATGGCAGAGGAAGGGAGAAAGGAGTTTCTCAATCGTGCTGAGAATGGTGGATGTTGAACGGGGTGAAGACCTGGCCAGTCTCTGGGCAAACATACTTCGGGACCTTCTCGATGATGTCGGTCACACGGAAGGCTGACCATGCGCAGAAGGGCAGGCACGGAGGGGAAGAAAGGGGGAGAAGTTAGGCAAAGGTACGAGAAGAGGGCATGCAGGGAGGCACATGCTCTGTCGCATTTCGAGGAACGCACTCTTGCGCTTGCTAATCGGGCGGCAGTTCTCAATCCGAACGCGGTCACCCACCTCGCAAGAGCCATTCTCATCGTGCACAAGGTACTTCTTCTTGGAGAGGATAGCCTGTTTGGGCGGGGCGGGGCGGGGCGGGG